GGGGAGGGGCTGGATTCCCCCCTCCCCGCTCCGATCCGCCAGCGCTGACTGACGGAACGGACAGGGCGGGTACAGCTGGCTCTGCCTCTAGATAGGCAGAGCCAGCTGTCAGTCACGCAGCTGGGCGGATCCCGGCATAATTGTCGGGATCCGCTTCATCTGCGGCGTCTCAGTATACCGCGAGCTGCAGCTCGTGGTATACTGAGCCTAGGGTGATGGGAGGACGCTAGTTTGTGTCCTCCCATTACCCTAAGGAGAACTATGGGGAAAAGCCTTAACCCCATAGTTCTCCTTTAAGCTTGGAAGGCTAGAGATATGTGGCCCTATACCACATTTTGTGAACACTTTAAAGAAGAACTACAGGGGAAAAAAATGTATTAACCCATGCAGTGGGGCTACCCCTGCACTGCAAGGGTTAACTGTTCATTTTTTGTCTAGGTAAAAAAAAAAAAGTTATAGTCAACTGATGGTCCAAGCCAGCTTGTTCTTAGACTGGTCCTTTCAGCCTCTCTCTCCCTCCTCTGCAGTGGTCTAAGGTCCTGTAAATCATTACATCTATACAATGTATATAGACGTGAGGACACTGAGGAAGATTCCAGTGCTGCAGCGGGAGGGAGACAGGCTGGAGGGAGTGCTGTGACAGCTGGCTAGCTTGAAACTTTGGGTATAATGTTTTTCTAGCACCTAGAAAAAAACAAGCACTTAACCCTTGTAGTCCAGGAGTACCCCCTCTGCAAGAGTTAAGTAAGCAGTTCTTCTTAAACTTAATTTTAGGTGGACATTAAGACTCACTATATCGCTGGTCCTTATCGTGAGATTGCATGCTGTTGGTTTGGTTTACACATTAAACCTAATTCTAACTTGTGGCATAATTCTGCATCCTCATGCAGCTCACTATATATTTGTCAGAACAAGAATGATCACGTAATGGAATTGGTCACCTCAAGAAATTGCTGGAAGCAGTTCAATGTTGCCATATGAAGCATTATTTTTGTTTGCTGTCAATACACAGATATTGTTGTCGCCTAAAACATGTCATTTTCTTGCTCATTAGATAGAAGATACCTCGCAGCAGAAGTTGGTGGTGGTGTCCGTCTCACCACAGTCTCGAGCTTCTTTGGCTGCGCGATTTAACTTAAATATCCAAGAAACTGCTCAAAAACTGACTTCCTTTTTTAAAACCTTAGGTAAGCTGCTCCAACTGTACTTTACTCACTAGTGGTTTTTCTTTGCTTACGCAACAATGCGATATGTATTGCCTTTACTAAATGTATAATGTCTCCATCATGCAAACCAAATTTAAGTCAGCTATACGCGCTTCTATTTTCTTCGTTCAACCTGCTGACTGAACAAAGAAAATAGAACAGATTCCTCTATTAACGCTTATGAGCGTTGATCCAGGAATCGCCCGCTGTTTACGTTGTATTCTGACCGCGACCAGTTGCTATCAGTATACCCAGACAGAATTATGAGTTATATACGGTTACTAGTGTAAACACAATATGTAGCAAAAATCTTCTTTTTGAAAGGTAGGTCTGTTACATTATGTAAGTGCATGAGGTATTTATTGTATTTTTTTATTTTTTTTCGTTTTGCAGGCGTTCACCATGTGTTTGACACCAGTTTCTCTAGGAACTTCAGCCTGTTGGAGAGTCAACAAGAGTTTATAGAGAGATATAAGCGACAGAAAGAAGACAAGAAAGCCATTCCTATGCTGGCCTCGGCCTGCCCAGGTAAAAATATGTCTTCTGTATCTGTAATATGACTTTTCCTAATAAAAATGACCACACACCACTATTATTTCTTAAATCTAATGCTGCTTTTTCTAGAATGTGAAGCTTCTAAGAAAATTATTAGTTTTTGTGACTCCAGTGAAAATTGATACAGTATTTATCTGGTTGAATAAAGACCACAGCTGCTTTATTTATTCCCTTCTACTTCAGGGTCTTCCCTCATCATAAATATATAAATATTTGTCAGATGGGATATGTTTACCTAAATTGCAGAAAAAGGCTGTGTACAGTTAGGAGACCATGCAGTAAAGATCACTAGAGTCTCATGGTTTCAAGTAAATAGCTTAGGGCTGAAACTAATGATCATTTTCTTAATCAATTAGTTGGATGATTATATATAAAATACACCAATGGAATGTTATAAGCATAAAGTTTACATAAAACTGCATGCACAATTATTTTGCAATCGCACTGCACTGGAATACGTGGCAATGCAGTACTGTGCGTTCCAGTGTGGGCGTGGTCTCACTGCGCGCGGTTGAAATGAATGGCACCCCAACGCACCTCCCGCAGCAGAATTTGTCAGGCCGAAACCGAAAATAACTTTTTTGCCACCTTTTTAAAAAATAATTGTATATACTATATTAGACATTTTAATTAGTTTCATGGATTTAAAATAATCAGAAAAATTCCAATATAATAAAATAACCAAACTTTTTTATTTAAAATAACACGCCAAGTGAGCACAGTTAAACACCTTTTACCACATGAAATCATAACAATGGTAGTAACTCATCTGATGGGTCGCTGTAGCACACTGGCCCCTGAAATTCAGCTTGCTTAGTGGCCTTTCCTCCAGCTGTCTGTGATTGGAGAGTTAAGGAGCAGCAGCACATTGATAGTCATCTTTGCACTCCCCTCTGTTTAGTGCTAGGCTCACAAGCAGCACAACAGAGCCCCAATTGGTTCACAGGAGTCTGAGATCAAGTGAGATTTAGGAAAAAAATATATTTAAAGCATATCTAAACCCAAAAATAATAATTTATAAGATTGCAGCTTATCAGTCCTCAGATGTGGTGTTTGCAATAGTTTTTACTTTATCAGGATTTTTTAAAACTTTTACCTGGTGATGCTGCCAGTAACACACTTCCTATCCTAGGGTGACAACATTCACTCACTGCACTGTATTTATGGAGGAACAGTGTGTACACCCTAAACTGCTATCCTTATTTGGACTATAGTATCTACTCATCGCCATTATATGGAATATTGGATGTAGTTCACCGAGATAGCTGGGAAAGCAGATAACATTGCTTGAGATATCAGCTTAGTGCACATGAAGTTAAAAGGACATTAGAATTCTGCAAAAATCAACTGATCTCTTTTTTGTACTTGCAGAGAATGTTCTTAGCCTGAAAATGATTGCAATCACATCTAAGGATTGATAAACTGCAGTATATTACATTTTTGTTCTTGAGTTCAGATATGCTTTAATGATTTTGAATGCCTACATAAGTGGATTAAATAGGTATTTTTAGGTATTTTATTGCACTTTAGTTTTAACATTTTCTGTGGGTGGGCAGGTTAGAAATAAGCCCTGTTTAAAAAACATAAACAAAACACCGACAGGTAGGCTCTTTTTGACAGAAGATACTCGGCATGTCTCTTCTGTCATAAATACTTCTCCTGCCTGTCAACCGCACGTCAAGATCTCAATGTACCAACCCTGCGCCATTCTATGTCAGGACAAAGTAACTCCTATGTATGATGGCCAAACATTTCGAACCCGGAAGTAGACTTTCTGCTTGATGCAGGGTCTTTTTGTTTCTAGCAGTTTGTGATCTTCTGGGATCACATGAGTGCACTGAAGCAAAGAAATCAATCATCAGTTATGGCTCCTTGAAGTGAAGACATTGAATCAAGCAGTGATGTAGCACAGATGCTGTCCTTGTCACTGTTTGTCAGCTGTTACACTGCAGATGCAGACAGGCTGGATGTAAACATTGCAGTTTTTACACTGGACTGCATTTGACAGCTAGCAAGGAAGATGGAAAGAAAAGCTAGAGGTCCAAGTTTATATGTGCAGAACTGCATTATCTTCCCAGACAAGCTAATGTGTTATAAAAGTACAATTTATCATTTAAGCCATTGCAAGCCAGTACATAAATCCTCCCTTGTTCCTGCTATCTTGATATGACTAGGAGAAGAGTAAAAACTACACATAGGACTACCCAGGGCTTTAGAAATCCTTTTGTAACATATTCTAGTCTTTAGAGCTTTCAGACAACCAAGGTCCTCTAAAATCTATTTGATTTGACCAGGTTTAACTTCAATCGTAAGTAATTTGTAGAGAAGGTAATCAAAATTGTATTGACGTACTTTATTGTTTTTGGTATGGAAGGAAGACTTTGAATGCAGACAAAGAAAGTACATTTTAATTATTTTTTTTCTTTTCTTTCAGGCTGGATTTGTTACGCTGAAAAAACGCACGGCTCGTTCATCATCCCGCACATCAGTGTAACCAAGTCACCACAGCAAGTCATGGGATCTCTGATCAAAAACCACTTTGCACATTCACAGGTAGGAAACTCGGCAGTATCAAATAAATGTTATAAACTAATCAAGTGTTCAGCATATCGGTCCTCAAAGAGCTTGTGTTCACGCCGGGGCATGAGACAAAAATGAGCTCATATTATACCCACCAGCAAGTTAAGCTTAATTCTTCTAAATATTTGAATTATGGGGATATAGCCATATCTTCCATTTCAGCTTCTGTTATGATCTGTTATGGTCATATTCATTTTGACTTCTGCTTGTTCTTTCTTTTCTTCTTTTTTTTAATCAACACAGAACTTGAAGCCGAATCAGATCTACCATGTGACAGTAATGCCTTGTTACGACAAAAAGCTAGAAGCTTCTAGACCAGACTTCTTCAACCAGGAATATGAGACCCGAGATGTGGATTGTGTCATTACCACTGGTCAGTGCTGTATCTTGCATTTACTTTAGAATGCTAGGTAATAACTTTGTAGTTGCTTTAATTTTTTACTTGGTAGACATAATGGACTGATGTTTCCTTGCAGGGGAAGTTCTTTGGATGTTGGAACACGAAGGAATGTCTTTAGCAGATGTGAACCCATGTCCTCTTGATGCCGAGTGAGGTTTTTGTTTTGTTTGTCTTTTTTATTGCATTAGACAGTGCTTCCGTTCCTATCTGCTTTTCTGTGCACATTTACACATGTTCCCTTTGGTGCCATGAGGGAAGATCTGACTAATCAAAAACCTCACTGCCAGCTGGGGAGCTATATTATTGCTTAAGTTTAGCTGTAATATAAAACCAGAAAATAATACCCTTGTCATTGGAATGTCTTGAGAGTAGAAACTGTTCACTTAAATGTAATAAAGTTTGGGATTTATGGTGTGACTCTACAGAATATTTGTATGTTATAACCAACTCACCTTGTTGTTGCCCATAAGAGTTACTTCATGCTGTTATGCTGGCTGGGTCTGGGTCGCTGCACAGCCAAATGCTCCCCTCCAGTGTTGTGCCATTCTCTCTCTCTCTCTCTCTCCCCCACCCCTTGCCAGTGCTGCCATCTTCTTCTGGGTTCAGTATCTTCAGCCTCTTGATGGGCCGGCATGAAGTAACAGCCACTGTTGCCCATGAGAGTTACTTCATCCAGTTTTTCTGAGCTGCACGGCTCAGTGTACAGAACAAAGAAACATTTCTGAAAGGCAGGTTGATTTTTGGCGGAAAAAACTTTCACAATCTCTTCTGTTATAAAAAAAAAACTGCTTGTCAGCAATTTTTCATACGGATCATTTTACTTCTGCTTCCAAGGATGTATCTAACCAGTTGTTGGTTGTTATGATGCCTCACTGCAGACTGCCAAAGTTTAGTTAAGTTGTGTTAAAGACCAGTAGTGACACCTTGTGGTAGATATAAACTTGTTTTTCACAAATAATAATTTCTAAGCTATTGCAAAATTACAGAATACCATTGCTCTTTTTACTGCTTTAAACAAGCCCAGAAATAACGTTTTGGTATTGAAATCTAAATCCAAATTGTTTCTCTTTTTACGTTTTAGCTAGTTAAAAATGCTGTGTGTTTGCAAAAAAATAAAAAAAATGAACAGTTCTAGTGCATAGTTGCCAGAGTAAACTGTCAGCAGACACATTTTCTTCAGATTAAAGTCCGCCAGTCCCAATATTCAAATAGTCACTTTGAGTAACTGGTTTAAGCTGTTCATAAACCTGTGTAGGGGCCGGAGTACAGAAGATATATTTACCTGATCAACAGTCCTGTGGCAGTCAGCGCTCACCTCTCCCCCCTCTGATCTGGCTATGGTACTACCCTTGGTGTCCTTACGAGTAATGCAGGTGAATCGACTGTATTAGACGTGATGACATCAGCGGGGCTTAGACCATCCAAGCCCAGGGGAGAAGAGGTTTCCGGGACTGGTCTAGCAGCCAGGCGGGATCATGGATCAGGTAAGTATATCTTTTTTTTTTTTACTCCAGCCCTAGACCAAAACAAGCAGTTAACCCCACTGGGTAGCCCAACTGCAAGGGTTATATTTAATTCCTAGAGTTCCTCTTTAAGATTTACTGAGGAATTAACAGTGAGGGATGAGCTAATGGAGGAGTAAAAGTAGAGTTTTTACTAGGAGATGGTAAAGGCTTCAGGAGATATGGATTTTCAGGGAATGCCTATAGGCAGACATAGAAGTCCTGCAGGTGAGCATGGGAAGAGGTGACCGGGGGGGCTAGAGAGCAGGAGGTCTTGGGAGGAGTGAAGTGGAATGTTTTGGGTGATATTTTGAGATGAGGTTGATGTAACTTGGCATAGTGTTGCGGATGGCTTTGTATGTTGTTGTTGTTAGCATTTTCAATTGTATTTGTTAGGCAATCAGATGCCAGTGGAGTGATTTGGCAGAGAGGGGCAGCAGCCACAAAGCAGTTGGTAAAGTAAAAGTCTAGCTTAGTTGCATCAAAAATTGCATTAGGAGAAACAATACAATAGTAGCTCAAACTATATTCTCATTGGTGCTGCAATGTAATTTTCTTGTGAGCTAAATGGGGTGCAATCTTTCTTTTTTTTTTGTTTGTTTGTCAAATGTCTTTTAATAGTGGAGTCTCAAAGTGAGTGTATCTTGATTATAATGACAGACCTTTTCTCTGTACAGATTTACCTCTGCGATGGATGATGAGCCAATAGGACATGAAGGAGGTGGATCAGGTGGATATCTAGAACATATATTTAAACATGCGGCGCAGGAGTTATTTGGGATTCAAGTGGATGAACTAAAATACAAGCCGTTAAAGTAAGCTCAAGGTTTTGTAGTTTCAAACAGACCACTTTGAATGTGGTATTTTAATATAGATTGTTTATAGTCACATATGGCTTTATGCAGAACATTGTAATTGCACCCTCCTCTATCTCCTACAGTTCTCCCACGGGATGATATGTTAGGATTGGCTGCAATTTTTAGCCTAAAAGTACTGAAAGCAAAAGGCAAATTTTTTATGCTAATGTAACTTAGGAGCTATGAATTGCAACAACACGACTGCTATCACCCGAAATTTCAGACCTTCAAATGACTGGGGTCATAGCTGATGACATGTGCAACAAGGGAAATCTAAATAGATGCTAAAATGGAGCCATTTCTGGTTCCTAGACACTAAGGAGGGGATTTATCAAAACTGGAGAAGACAAAATCTGGAGCAGTTGCCCGTGGCAACAATCAGCTTCTCTCTTCAGTTTGTTCAGTTAAGCTTTGAAAATAAAAGGTGGATGCTGATTGGTTGCCATACACAGCTGCTCCAGATTTTGTCTGCTCCAGTTTTGATAAATTCTCCTCCTAAAGGTGCCCATACACTGCACGATTCTCGTACGAGAATCGCGGGGAATCCCGCGATCGTACGAGAATCGTGCAGTGTAAGGAAGGCGTGCAACCGTTTCTACTGTACGGTCGCACGTCTTCCATCGAACCAGCATGCTAGAAAACCCGCCGGGAATCGGACGATTCTCGGCGAGTTAGTGGCCTGCTGGTTCGACAACTGCCGAACGGGCCGGTGTGCGCACGCGCACACAGCCCGTTTGCAGTCATCTTAAGCCCGCCCTCATTGCAGTCATCGTAAGCCCAACCCCTCAGGGGGGCAGGCTTGCGATGATCGCAAGTACGATCTGCCTGTCCAAGATGGGCAGTTCGTACGTTTTTCAAAGTACTTTACAACCATCGCAAGACAAAAGTCTTGCGAGAGTTGTACAGTGTATGGCCACCTTTAGTCTCTGTATCCTTTTCCGGATGATTTTTTTTTTTTAAATGGTCTATTCCTCCTGAAGTTAATCCTCCAAATGTCTTATCTTAACAAGGTTTTGACTATTACTATTGATGCTCCTTCATTTAAAGATTCTATTGACAAAAATATTTGAAGAAATGTTCTTGTACCATTTATTCTTTAACTGGTTCAGCTCTTCAACCATTATTGGCTATGGTCCTTATTTCCCAGACTTTGGCAACTTGGACAAAATCTGCTCTCGACACTGCTTTGCTACAAAACTTAGACATGTTGGTAGTAGGAGGGGGTCATCCTGGGCTGGGTTTTTTGCTTGCCTGTGTCAAATCCTTCTGTAGGCAGCAGTATAACCTGAAGTTAAAGACTTCCTGTGCCTTCAATGGATTACAACGAGTACACAAATCCTATTTTTCACCAGAAATGCATAGTCTAAATGTGATTAATCTCATTTAGGGTCCATTCACACCACATCCAAATCATCTCCAGATCAAGCCAGGTTGTTTCTGGACCCAAAATGCATCCTAATGTATCCCTGTGATATTCCTGGCCTCTGTTCACACCAGCACAGTCCGTCCCAGACCAGACCAGAAAAATACTACATGACTCATTTTGTCTGATCTGGAATGCACTGGAAGTACGGGCAGGTTCACACCATTTTCCAGCGTTTTGACGCTGATAATATTTTTCATACTTTATACATAAAATGCACGGGCCATGATTTTGCCAAAATTGTGTGTGTGTATAATATATATATATACATATATATATATAGATACAGGTTTTGCTTCTTTTGTAATTTAATTTAAAAGCTTAACTAAAGTAAAAAAAATACATATATGCTTCAGGCTTCAATTCTCAATGATTTCTTCCTGTTCATTGAAAATTACATTTGGCCCCAATAAATAATTTAGAATAGTTTTAGAGAACTACTGCATTCATTTCTTTTATACCTGTGGCTACAAATCATTCTGCTTTCTCAGTATCTCCCTTTGTAGCAACTAATTTATATGCACTAATGCCTGGTTCACACCTGGGCGTTTTACAGAGCTGATCTACGTGCTGTAAAACGCCCAGTAAGTGAAATCCCATTATTTCCTATGGGCATGGTTCCCACCTGGGCGTATTTCAGCATGTAGGAACGCGCTGAAAAACGTCCTACCTGGGCGTTTTCCCGCACGTTTCCATTGGTATTCCCGAGTGTGGATCTTCCGGGTTCTGTCCCTTGCGAGCGGCTGCGTCGCAGGAGGGTGGAACCGGCGGGAAGTTTAAAAGTGTAAAAAAAAAAAAAATATTGAGAAAATAATAAGGAAAAAAAAATCATACCGTCAGTGAAACGCGCGTTTCACTGAATGTAAAAACGTGCTATAAAACGAACAGAAAAAATACACCCAGGTGTGAACCCAGCCCAAGACCAGAGTCTACAAGTGTACACCCAGGCTCACCTGCTGCTGTTCAATGTCAGGACACTAACGGTAGTGCCTCCTGCCTCCAGTACACAGGGAGAATGTGATTTCCTGGGCTTTGAGAGGCACGGAAAATCCGACAGTGATCAGAGCCCACACCAAGCTGACAGCAGTATAAATACATCCCTGCACTGTGCTGCTGAAGTGCAGAATTGGAGTTGCTGTGGCAGTGACAGTGGAACTTTCTGCAAGTTGCCTGAATGGAGATGTGCTAACAAAATTGTGCAGGATTGATGCACTGTCCTTCTGCTGTGCAGGATTATGTGATGTAGTGTTACAATTTTAGTGCCCCAACGCTGTTTAGCAGGACAGTGCATAACACATTCAATTACACTACACCTCGATTACATGTACCACAAGGAGACATGGGAGATGTAGTTTAGCAATTTACAGGAAACTGACGTATCATTCCCCCTACTGGCTGTTGGGAAGAGCGTCAAAGAATAAAAAATAGCAGCTACACGGGTAGACTGAGGATATGTGCACATTTTCAAAGTAAGAATTCTTTTTTCAATAATACTAATACAGCATTTTGATTCAGCAAATAATGTTCTTTAATAATACCTAATGTCAAGAGTGTGACTTTACATCTCCTTTAATCCATCTAGGAACAAGGACTTTCAAGAGGTGACCCTGGAGAAGGAGGGTGAGGTGCTGTTGCACTTTGCTTTGGCATATGGGTTTCGAAACATACAGAATCTGGTGCAGAAACTTAAAAGAGGACGCTGCAGTTACCATTACGTAGAGGTGATGGCCTGTCCTTCAGGTACCTTAACCCCTATAATCAACAAGTGAAAAAAATATTATTCTTGATTTATACAAAATTCAATAGACATAGTGGATTTCATCAAAATGTCAAAAATGAACATTTGATGAAGATTGGCTATGGCCTTTTGTGCCTGCATGTCAGGACTCTTGTTACCTCAGAAACATTTTATCCAAGTCAGGTTCATCTTAGGCCCCGTTCACATATAGCGAATTGTCGCGCGATTTCCGCCGCGATATCGCGCATTTTTGCCGCGCGATATCGCGAGAAGTCGCCGGCCAATGTTATTCAATGGAGCTGTCTTAACTCCATGTCGCTCGTCGCGGTCGCAAGTCGCTTCTACCGGACCCTTTTTTCGGCGGATTTTGCGCGATTTTGCTTTTTTTCTATGGAGCCCGACGGGGAAGGTCGCGCTACCGTCGCTGGATCATCGCTGGAACGTCGCCCCGGCCGTGCGGATCCGCTGCAAAAGGTAATGTCGCTAGGTGTGAATGGGGTCTTACTTTTCAACAGTAATCAAATTGTATTAAGGCCCAATGTCTTTCAAGGATTTTTGTTTTAAATGAAGGGAAGATATTATAACCTCTACCTGGTCTTTACTGCTGTTGGTGTTCTCATTGGAGAAACTTTACCTTACTTTCTCCAATGACTCTCTCTGTCACTGGAACATAGTGAGGGACACTGGTAGCAATAATAAACAAAGGAAGTTCTCAGAAATCCTCTTCTAGACAAAATGGGGGAAAACAATTGGGCTGGAGTATGAGTTTTAACTTTTATATTCATGAGTCTTTGAACTGTCATAAGCAGTGTGATAATTTATGTAAACTCATTAGATTCTTGCATTTCATAAACTGAAGCTATGCATAACACATCCTTCTTTTAAGAGAATACCCTGAAAGCATGCCTAGATTTACTATTAGGCACATTAGCCTCCACCTATATGTTGCGGAGACAGACGCTGCTTTTTCCCATATAGTTATTAGCCCCACATTCTTTATACCCTTGTCTTGACCAAATTCTGGAGTGGCTGTGGACACTCCAGAATGTCTTTGTTTTGAGCCACTTGGAGACGGTCCAGTTGCTAGGGTAGGTCCTAGCAAACTCCTGATGTTTTGGGACTAAATTTAATTTTTGTGCCCAGCTGCATGAGGCCCTATAATACTTTGTATTTTATCTCTAAATTCAGTGTTATTATTTTTTCAGGCTGCTTGAATGGAGGAGGACAGATCCGAGCAGAAGGAGAAATTAGTAAGGACTTGCTGCAGAGGGTGGAACAGCTTTACAATTCTGTAAGGAATGAGTTACCAGAGAGGAATGAGAGAGTGAAGGAACTTTATCAACAGTGGCTGGGTGGCAGAGATGGTGTCAAGGCAGAAGAGGCCCTACATACCCAGTATCATGCAGTGGAGAAAATTGCCTCTGGACTTAGTATTAAATGGTAATTGGAGGATACGATCGCCTTTTGCAACAGATGTCATAGACCACATTTAAGGGCCACTTTTATCTGTAGATTTAATATAAGTCCTGGCATAAATTGCTCGCTAAAAGACTAAAGGATCCATGCCTCAATGTTCTCGAACAGCCTTATTTTAGGAGGAAATTATAGAACTTGTTGAGCCTCAAACAACATAGGGCTAAAGCTTGGCACTGTTCTGTGTCTTGGAAATGTAATATTGATTTCTATTATTTGCATGTCATCCGCCATCATTACTTTTCTAAGTCAGAAAATGTCCAGCTCCTGATCTGATCACTCATAACGCTATATTATTGTGGTGATATTCTTTGAGACTTTCTCACATTTTGCACTAACAATGCTCTAAAAACTGGATTACAGAAGGTGATGCTCATACCAGGTGTCTTACTGTGTTGTATATTTTATTGTTGTTTTAGTTGTGTATATGACTTATGCTCCATATAATGAATAATATGTTGTTTTCCTCAATTTGTGTGACAATATTTTATGGTCTATATAATAAGTAATATATTGTTTAGCAGACTTCTGTGTGCAAGATATTTCCCAGCCAATCAGCATCGAACCGGCTTCCCGGCCATTCAGGATGATCGGCAGCGAGTAATGGTCGGCCTCCCGGCTTCTTGATTGGCCAGGAAGCCGGCTCCATGCTGATTGGCTGGAAAGCTTTGTTATACAGATTGTCATTTAGCAAATATTGTTACCGAATCCATGTCGATGTCAGAAAATTTTTACTTTAAAATAGTATTAAATAATAATCTTCTTTAAAAGAAAAACATATGTATAACACAGAAGAATAACCACTTGATTCCCCAAAGCTCAGAAACACTTACAGGGTTATTCACAAAAGGGTGAAGAGTTTGGAGAAGGCAGGAGAAGTGAACAATCTAGGACAACATAGATTAACTGGAAAGTGAGCTGAATTGGAGAATTTTTCCAGTTAATCTATGTTGTCCTAGATTGTTCACTTCTCCTACCTTCTCCAAACTCTTCACCCTTTTGTGAATAGTCCTGTTACTCTTCTGTTTGCTTACATTTGCATCCCCCACGTTCCTGTGCGCTACTTCCCTAAACTTCCAGGTGGGGGAAACGCACACTAATAAGTTCACGGTTAGAAATCTGTGGAACTATATGTCCCTTCATTCTTTTCTCTCTTGTACCTGCGTGTCCCTGCAGTCATAACATTTTCCCTGACATGAGACGCTGCCTGTGCTGACACGTGCAGGCAGTCTGGATTACACACACAAGTTACACCTTCTGCTGCTCCTCCTCTAAGGGTGATTGGCAGTGATTCCCAAGGCAGAGACTCTGAAGCTGCTGTCAATCAATCCCGGCAAAGCAGTGCCTTCTGTGTATTGTCCATTTAAGCTGCCTGTGCATCGCCAAATTGCAGGCACATGCATGAAAGAACTGGATCCATAAGACTCCGTAAAGGAAAGGCGCTACCTTGATACAGGAAAGCAGCATTAGCACAAAGAGGGCCAGCTGAATGGGGAGGAAATGACAACTTCAAAACATCAAGAAGCAGCAAGAAATGTAGGTTGTCACATCATCAGTACAATCTGAAAAAATATTAAGGCTTTAAACCCCAAATCCAGCCCCACCCCCCAAGTCCTCCCCTTCCCCCTAGCATCAATCACCACTCGCTGTAGAATTGTATTGTGAGACCAGGGCGCTGTGATGATGTGAGACCAGGGCGCTGTGATGATGTGAGACCAGGGGGTGGGTTTAGGATCATTAAACTCTGAAAAGGACCAGCACTGGAATGTGGACTAGTGAGTTGTCTGGGGACAACATCAGGAAGAAGGTGAGAACTGTAGTCAAAGAGTCCCTTTTTTTTTTCTATATTTACAATAATTGGGCTACTTTTATTTTATCGGAAATGTCTTCATTCAGGACACAAGACTGCAATAAAATACTGACAAAGCTTCTATCCCTTTTCCATTATGTCCAAAACACAAAATGAAAAACTGAAATAGCACCCCAACACACAATGCATGGTAGAGCACAGCAACACACATACCACATATTGATGTACATTGCAATGGCCTGGTGATGTGTGAATAGGCCCTAAACTACTGACCCAATAGCACTTAGTCAGAATATCTGATTGGCATGCTTGTTCCAGGTCAGTAGCTGAGAAAGTATTGAGGTTAATTGGATCACTGACAGCCTGGCAACTAACATTTTCATAAGGATAGTTCAGCAATTGCAGCACACAAATTCCTTCAGTGTTTTCTTTAAAATGATAAAGGTCATAAAATATATTGAGAAAAGCCTCTGGATCTCTATTCATACAAAGCCAGACTGTCATCTCCCTATCCGTGGAACATGAATATCCTGTGAAACCCAAGGTTAGTGGTACCTTGGGCCAACCATTCCTCTACATGCAGTAAGCAGAAGCTGTTAAGACCTCTCTGTTCAAACGGTTCTGCTTATGCAGAGGAGGTTCTGTTCTATTAACTGCAGCAAACTCCTAACTTAAGCAGGCCATATGTACACAAAGAAAGAAAGGTGCCCTGCTAATGTAAATGTATCTTTATTGTTATATCCACTCTCACAAAGCAAATGGAGCGAGACAGAACAAGTGTCTCCCTCAGACACAAAGCAGTCATTAACAGATTAGATCTAAAATGTGCTGATCTGGAAGCACAATAGGAAAGAATGAAAGAGTAGCTAGAGCAGGGGTGGGCAAACTCTGGCCCTCCACCTGGTGAGCAAAAACCCATGACGCATTGCAAGATTTGCACAGCCAGAGGCATGACTCCCAGAGACAAATGCATCATGGGATTTGTAGTTTCACTACAGCTGGAGAGCCGGAGTTTGTCCACGGCTGAGCTACATAGATCAGGTACTGGATCACGTGTCTGAGTCTGAATCACTCTTTGCATCAAAACCATCCTCTTCCATGGCTTACAGAGCAGTCACTTGGTCAGTGCCCACCTGCGGCACTCCCCATGCAGCTGTGGCTCACAGGCAAATAAGTCTTTACCTCAGTTGCCACCTCTTGCCTGGAGAGAATATAGCGAAGCGCAGGCACAACATGAGATGCAACCCCTTTGGGCTGGCTTAACATATCTGGTCAAGATACGAATGGCTGCATGACGCTATTACAGGGGTAGGCAACCTTTGACACTCCAACTGTGGTATAAGGACAAGTCCAATGAGGCTTTGCAAGACTCTGATAGCCACAGGCATGGTTCCAGAGCCATAGTCATAATGGTATTTGTAGTTTCACCACAGTACCAAGGTTGCCTACCCCTGTGCTATTAGAAAGGACTTCAAAACAATAATAACAGTGTCGTCAGAATCATTCCATGATGCAACATGATGCTGCAACTTCAGATGATTGTTCCAGAGCTTCCTCCAAGACCCCTCCCTTTTTTCCAGTTAGTCCTGCCAAAACACTTTGTTCACTGTTCTGACTGGTATCAGTGCACCACCTGGCAACCAGACTCTGCATGCCTCATTACACTACACTATGCACACAATTAAATAATCCCACACACTGTATCCTTTCTGTGCTTGCACATGCACCTACACTTCATGTGTTCACCTTTTCGTAACCCAAAAAGTGCCAAACCCTAGGTACAATGCATACCAATTTACCTTTCATGGATTTCACTACAATCATTTTAGTCAAGAGGTTTGGCTGCTGAGGGTTTCTGAATGTTCACATCATCATGATTGCTGTTTTTACTGCCCCACTGAATAGGCCCAAACGCTAACCACAATCATATCGATCCAATTGTGCTCTGAAATGTTCATTTTGATATTCTGATCCAATATACCAGTTATTGATCATGTTTTACCACCATATTGATCCAATCAATAAAGGAGTGCTGCTCCATGGCTCCATTAAATTTAAATGGGCCACCAAGGCACCATAATGCAAATAAAAGTGGGCAAGTCTTAAAAAGTGGGCAAGCCTTTTAAAGCATTAGTGTAACTGCTTTGTTTCCTTTTCGAGAGGATTTGTGCCACGTGGAGGACTTTCTTTGGTGGAATGCTTTGTATAGGGGTGAACAGGAGCCTTGAACCTAGCACCTGAGTTTCTCAGCAGCCTGAATGGGATGCGGAGGCAGAGCGGAAATACCTTGTTTACAGCATTAAGGGTGTAGGAAGCAATTGATCAATGCTAAAACAATCTTTTTTTTTTCCAGATTTTCTTATAAACGTCAGACAGTGATTAGATTGATGCAGGCAAACTGTTCTGTTAATTAAACTATTACCAACATCCATTGCCAACAGCTTTGGAATGTAAGGTCCTACCTGGCTGCATACAGATGGAATGGGAGCTAAAATAACAAAGTTATACTCATCCGAACTGGGATCCCGGCACCCTCCTACACCATTTCCTCCAGCCTGTCTACTCCTCCGGGCCAGCTAATGTCCCTTGGCGTCCCCACATTCTATACACTGTGCGCAACATACTGACTCAGCACTGTAGACCGCTAGAGCGGAGGGGGAGAGTCTGAAGAGTGCGGTCTAAGAGCCAGCTGGGATTGAGGTTTGGGTGAGTATAACTTTGTTAATATAGCTCCCTAGACAAAATGGGCCCCCCCAAGAGCCCCACTGCAAGGGTTAAGACTTGATTTGCCCGGAGGTTTGCTTTAAAAGCATTGCAGAGCATTACAATTCCCATGTTTGACATATTTGCAAGCTGGAAACCTAGAAGCTGGTCCACAAATATGATTCATATATAGAACAGGGCACACACACACACGCGGTCTGATGATTAGTTTGTTACACAACATCTGATTAGCTTCCCTTTACAAGCTTTGCCAATGTCACAATACCAACCATCCAACATCTGAGCTTGAGTGATTTGTATTGGGGCACATCCAGCTTAGCTAGTGTAAGTGATTTACATACTATGACTACACTGCAATTACATATTTGAACTCATTGCTTTATCTTTGATGTCAACAAAAGCAATGAGCGCAGGGCATACTCTAAGAAAGTGAAGGTGACTGATGTCTATAT